GTGGTGGTGGTGGTGGTAGCAGTAGGCATCGTGAGCACAATTAGCTGGTTCACAGCACAAGCAATCGCAACAACGGCTGCATTGCGAATATGACTAGCACAACTGCTGCTTGTCGTAGAAGTCACGGCAGTGGCGGCTCTCCTTGTAGTGGAGGGGCATTGGAGGAGCAGGATTAAGTATACCGGTACCGTAAGAGGCAGAAGCTGGAGGACAAGCCATGTAGGTGCAGACGCAAGTCGTGAACGGAACAGGTGCACGAAGTAGTAGGCACTGGCGGCAGCAGACACTGTGAGCAGGCAGTAGTTAGTAGCAGGCGGTAGTAGCGGCACTAGAATCACTAGAAGTCATGATGAGCGTCGTAATGCCAGGCTTAGCTCAAGAGCAACAGCAGAAACAAGCCGCTGCTTCCTCTCGTGATAGGTGTGAGGATGCCGTGGCTCTCTGGGGCCTGATGCCTGAGGTATTCCGATCCGGCGGTGTTGAGGCAGCCGTGAAACGAGTTGTGACGTCGCTCGGCCACGGCTGCTCTTGTCTTGTGGAGGCGGGCGGCCATCCAACACGCTTGAGCCCCACGTGGCAGATTCAGGACCTGAACTCGCAGAGTTGTGTGCTTGCGGGTCTGGCGGCTAGACGGTGGAAGTAGTGTTTCTTATTTTGGGTTCTTCGCAAAACACGGATCGTAAAGGCAACATGTGCAGCTCGTCAGTATGAAAGAACTGCAATACAAATCAAGTTCGTGTCATCTGCTGAAATTCCACTGTGAGACTGTGCACTCGGGAAAGGGTTCAGCAATAGAGTGTTGATTGTATTGTTCCTTGCTTTTTTTTCGCTCTGCCTGCAAATGGAGCGTGCAACTCATGCCACCGTCGACACACTAGAACTTCGTAAAAAGAAAGGGCCAGGCGGGGTCGGCCCGTGATCTGCAGGATCCATGGTTTGACAACACCGGCCACAAGCAAAACTCACCAAGTGCTAACACATGATGGGCCTCATGGCTTGTAGGAGTTGGGGTTCAGGAGTCAACCCCGACCACCGCAATCAGACAGCAGGCTAAGCTTCAGCATGCAGCCAAGCTCACCAAATCTTCAAATAGTTCTCAAACAACGGGGCGTTCTATTTCATGCTAATCACTCATGAAGCTACGTCGTGCTAGTTTAGAACAGCCTCACATGGTTCAGGGCAGGCTTCGCAGCCAACACCCTGGCTGCTCGCCCTCGACGACCGGGAACTAAGTTGTGAAAGTCATAAACTCAATAAACCCTTCATCCAAGCCTGCAAGCCCTAACCTAAACCCTAAACCTCAAACCTCCAACCTTCAACAGGGTTTGAGGGACGAGCATAGCTTTCTGCTCAATGGCCCTCTCTCGTGTTTGAACGTCGTATCATGAATGCACATGCTATCCATATGAGCCGTAAATTTGTCTGATTAAGTGATGGTACCGTAGGACAGCCGCTCTGACCGCATGATGTCAAACGAACCCATGTCCGGTAGCCGGCAATATTTAGAACAAAAGAGCGACCGTTGCTGTGCTCGACGGCTTACATACGAAATTGAATCCTCGTCACCAGCTTTCCTCTGTCCTCCGGGAGGATGGCCATTGGAGCACATGCAGGAAAAAATCTGAGCCCTCGTGGAGCAGCATAAGCATAAGCCTTTAGACTTGAGGTTCGTGTTCTCGCGCTGGTCATGGGGGTTTCAGCAGTTCGACGTATAAGCTCTGTTTCGGTCCTGTGGTAGGTTTGGAATGGTGTGCATTGCACAGAGCTCAGACAGCATGGCAGAAGGTGCCGGTGCCTGCGAACTCTGTGTAAGGATTGAGGGATGTGACTTGCCTGTCGCGGCATTGCCTCTTTGGGCCCACAAACAACGTCATGTGAAGCACGCCTGTCAGTGTACGACTTAATGCACGATGCCACAATGGGCTCTATGGAAAATTGTATGCTTCTTTATTTATTCCGAAAACTTACCTTCAGCGACCCAAGATGTGTCTAGCTCAGTCGCGCTCATGCAATGGCTGCAGAAGCCTTGCACTCAGCAAGCCTTGGCGCACAGTGTAAAACACACACACACATACATACACACACACACACACACGCACACAATCGGTCTTGCCGGCCAGGGTTGACAACAAGGTAGTATGTGTCTGCAACGAGCTTCGGAACAAAGGCCCATGCGGCGACTTCTGCTGTGCCCAGGCCTGTGCAGCGTTTGGTCATCCGAATATGATTTTCCCAATGGTTTCAGCTACAAAAGAAGTAAACCGGCCATCGGATGGGTTTGGGTGCAAACCAAAAATTTCCGCCTGGTATGCGTGTTGGCGCATTTTTGGGGTTTAGGGGCATTGAGCTGTAAACCCCACACCTTAGTGTTAGGGGTTTGGGATGGTTTGTAAGAATTGAAGTTGCATACATATACATGCATGCATACATACATATGTGTTTAAACACATGAATAAGTACACATACATATGCACATGTAACTGTCTCTGCATGTGCACCTGCATGTGTATATGTATATGGTTACGTACAGATGCTATCTGACAAAAAGTATGCACAAGAAGATTTAAGAGTGTGGAACTCTGTATAGCTCCATGTGCTCCTATCTTTTTGCAGAACTCGTAATACTGACGGCCGAAAACGCATGGCCAGCACACGTAATAATCACACCATGCGAAATAAGTTCTAACTCTTATGTGGCTCCAGTGAACCCTCAATCCGAAACCCTCAACCCGTGTTACAATCTTTTTACTGTAATCCACCCCCCAGCTCTACCCTTGGACGTGTAGCCTCATGCTCGAGGTAGAGCGGATGAGACCGGTTGACCCCTGTCAGCAGCAGCTCGTAACATGTCCGCGTGTTCGTACCTTGTCAGGATCCCAAACCCTTCATTTGGAGTATTAGGGTTTAGGGTTTAGGATGGTTTAGCCTTGGTGTAATTCTTTCTTGGGTTTAGGGCCTATAGGGTATACACAGGCTGCAGTGTACCTGGGGAGCCCAAGAACCTCGGTTGTTGGGGCTTCACTGTACAAGCCATGACAGCCTTAAACTTGAGGGGTTTTGTGCACACTCTTTTGAAGAGTGAGCCAGGGCGTAGTGCGCACTAAAGCCCGCACGAGATGCTAGTAAAGGTCACCGCAGCTAACCCCGCCCCTTCTCCCGAACCATTGAAGCTTCAGACCGTCAGATGGCATCCACTGAGGCCCCGCGACTGTGGTGAATTCGCTTGTGCCAGCGCTGCCGGGTTACCTGTCCACAAGGGCATGACAATCTGTGTGTTGTTGTTTTTCCTTCTCTTTCTCTCCTGACATACATACATACATACATACATACATACATACATACATACACAGATACATACACACATGAAAGAGGCAGGAGGACTTTGCCACAGGCTGCTGGCTTCTGGTTTAGCTTGCATCCACGTCCACACCATGACCATCAATCAACACTGGGCCGCCCATTATGCTGCAGCAGTAGCTTCTCCCAACATGATTGAAAACCAATCGAAACAGTGCCCAACATGGACCCGGAGATGCTGAAAGTCGCGAAACCCGGAACGGTGGTAGGACCGGAGCCTTAATCTCGAGCCGAATCTCCAATGGGGACAACACGAAGCTTTTCGAGAAGCTGCCGAAAAAGTGGGCTTCCTTCTGCAATGACGGACTGAAATCAGTAGAACAAACAACGGAAACAACACTACCATAGATCTATAGAGGTGTAGGGCTTAGAAGTGTGAGTGTGCTCAAGGCAGCCCCAGCATTGTCCTGCCTCAATGAGATCCGTGGCATGGAAATGCCGCGCCATCTTATCCAAGCTCTTGAACCCAGAGCTCTTGACGTCCTTCGGGGCTTCTGGCTCTAAGCCCTAAGCTGCCCGAAACCCCTTGTCTTGGGGTTTAGGGTTTTGTGTTTCGGCTCACCCTGTGGAGATGTTAGAGCTCCTGTTGCGAAAGCTTAAACGCCGCGGAAAGAAGAACCTTGTTGGTCCCCTGTATGAAACATCTAAATCTAAGCCCCAAGCCCTCGGCCTCTCAACCCTAAACCTGGTATTCCTTCTTGTATTCAAGGTCCCCACAACCCCAAGGGCCTCTAAACCCTAGTAGCCACAGCCTTCCTGGTGATATTCAAAGTCCCTAAACACCCGCCCCCGAATCCCACCTCTTACTTGTAAAGGCAGGTCGCACAGGTCCAGGCCAACCCCCACACCCTCACCAGGGTTTTGGGTTTAGGATTTGGGTGTTTATTTATGGTTCAGAACACGCAGAGGACGCGATCCAAGAGTGAAAGAAAACAACATAATTAGAAGGGCCTTCTGCCGAAGATGCTGTGAAATTCGAAAAAACGAGACTTGCGCGGGCGATGCGCCAATGCACAGAAGGACAACTCCCTTCGGACGTCCCCATGGAACTCGCAATCAGCATCGCATGAAACCCCTGGACCTGAGAGCAGTGAATGGGCCCTCTCGGGGTGGGTATGCCAGCAGGCCAATAAGCATTCACAAGGTGCGCTCCCGTCCGGCCCACTAGGCTTACCTGGGCCCCCGAAAGTATGTGGAAAAAACAACCTTTTATAGGCGTTGAGCCAGTATTTTACCTACTTTTGGGGGGTTTAGGTACACGTGATAATTGCATGTCGGGGAATCAAGGAACACCCAGGACAACGAAGGACGGCCCTGTCCGGCAGCCAGCAGACATGGTGGCGTTGCCTGCGCCCTCAACAAGCGAGGATGACTAAGCGTGGGGAGAGGGGAGCATAGACATCTTTCAAGGAAGTGGGGTTTAGAGCTTAGGGTTGGGGGACTATGACGATGGAACTGGAGGTGAGGCAAGTTGGGTCAAGGGTAAAGACTTGTGGTTAGCGTTTTGGAACGTAGATGGGGGAAACCCGTGACATGTGCACCACTCTTGGCAGGGAGCGGCTCGGGCTTGGGGCACTGTACAATCTTGAGCTTAGAGCTTTGAACACATCGACCATGTAGCCTGTCTTCCTGCTTTTGTTTGCCACGCCTGGGCATGGACCAGAAGAATCCCTCACTGAACATACCCCATCTAGAAGACCGCTTCGTGAGAATCTCTCTTGCTTAACTGTAGGAGGATGGAAGATGAGCTTCAACTCTCAAAGAGCCGTGCTGCAGTTCGGGGCATTGTTGTCTTCCCTCCAAATAAAGAGCGGCCAATTGTGTGCTCCAAATAACTGGATACTAAACACGATACTGCCTTCGGCTCCTGCTACTATGTAGTAATATCCAGCCTACTCCAAGTGAGAGCCCTACGGGCCTGCTTAAAAGAAACCCTCCAGGTTCCGCACCATCGGAAAAGCTGCCAAGGAAGTCGCTCTGCTGTGCCCGGTAGCTGGGACCTTAGACCATCGCTGCGCCACAGAGGCGGAAAGAACATAACGACATAAACAGACACACACACACACAAACCGTGTAATGAAAGACTCACGGGCGTGGAGTGGTTCGTTGGGACAGGATGATTTGCTAGATGCTCGCAAACATCCGTCCGGCCCAACTACCTTATCCAGCTCCTGAGCAGCCTGGTTGCCCGCCGGCTGCAGCACCATGGATTCCAGGCGTGAGCGTGCTGCCGGTTCTGCCTACCGAAAGCAGCACATGGACACCATGGTTTGGCCCACAGATCTGGGTGGTGTCTTGTATGCCCCAAAGCCCTACACCCCGAACATCTTCGTTACTTTTCGAGCTAGTTCTTCGTTGCCTTCTCCCAGGATCGTTTGGAGAAATCCCTCGCAAACATCTACGTGTAGGTATCTCCAAGGAAGACACCACTCACCAGACTGCGAGTCGGACGCGGGAAGTTGAAGCTCTACGATATAGTCATCGACAAGCCTTCGCGCTGGATATCTCACCATACGTGTACAAACAAACGTGCACGTCTATGCAATAGGTGCGCCTGTTAACTCCCTTGATACTAAAATCGATCCTTTCTGTTTCTTGCCCTATCCGAATGGGGGGTTGCCCTTGTAGTCATCGTGCTTGCAGCAATATACCTCAGTGTTGACAAGTACCGGGGCACACTGGACTTAACTGCAAGTGCAAATAATGTTTCAACTTGCTGGCTTCGACTGCACGGAGCCCTGAAACCCAATGCCCTACCCACCTAAAAGCAAAATCCTCAGGCCCGCAAAACCGATAAGGCAAGTCCCAAGGTCTAAGAATCAGACCATGCTCAACATCCTAAACCCAGTTCCCACAACTCTAAACAAGTAGACTCAAACAAACACCATTCAAGCAACAATCCCAAATCTTTAAACCCAGCTCACACAACCAACCCCAAACCCGCCCCACAATCCTCAGCCCTTTATCCTGGATTCAAGCATCCCATGCGCAAATCCAAAGCGGCCCAACCGCAAAATCCCCAACTTTACACCGCCAACACCAATCTCAAAATCGTGACACCCAGGGCCCCAGGACGAAACCAAACAAGACTCCACACCCCCAACGCCCAATGCCTAAACCCCAAAATCCTAAAGCACCGCGGCCCAGAACATATTTGCACCCCCGGACTTCAAGTACTTAAATCCTCGGACCTTACCTCAAACCCAACTCCAAAACCTAAACACGCAATCCTACAAAGACGACCTAAACACGCAATCCTACAAACACGAAGCTATAAAACAACACCTTTCCTAAAGCGAGTGCACCCGTTCCCCGTTGGCGGCTTGCAACGCCCCGGAACCAGGGAGCGTCGAACAATGTAAGCTCTGAGGGTTTAAACTCTCCCAACTCGGACCCAAGGGCTTAGGGTTTAGGAAGGTTTAGGGCCTATCTTGGGGCTACCAAAAATGGCACACAACCCAAATCCCAAAACCCTATAAGCACTACAATCAAGCCACTTTGCAACCCTTTAAAACCACACAAAACCCAAAGCTCAAAACCCGAGACAAACCAACACCTGAAGGTAGGGGCGTGAACAGCTGAGGATGGATTCTTGTAGCATTTCACCAAAACCCAAAACTCTAAACCCCAGTCCCCGAACTAATTTAGGGGCCTGAGTAATGAGAACAGGTTTGTAGAGTATTTCATAGTATAGTTACAATGAGGAACCCTAGGCACAAAAAAAGTAACCACTATCATTAATGCCCGTAGCTTTCGTCCTTTCCCCCTGAGCTTCCCGCGGTCGCTCGGCGGCCGGCGGACCGCATCTCTGAGTACACGGCCTTGGATGTGCAAGGCCTAAACCCCTTGTTGGGGCTTGCAGACTGTAGCCTAAACCCTGAACTCCTAAACCCGAAAGCCGGAAACCACTAAACCCTGAACCCCTAAGCAGCAAACACCTATAGAACCCTAAACCCTGAACCCTAACGACAAAATGAATCAAAGCTGCGACTCGACAACCGAGGTAGTACAGCATCAGGGTTGGAGGTATGGTGCTTAGGGTCTTTTTTTTGAGCTCCTTTTTCCACCTGCCCAGACCATCCAACCCGTGTTCAGGTTTTGATGTTACGAATGTCAGGGCTTTAGGGGCATGCAAGCTTTGCCGGGTCTGACGGGTGCTGGCCAACCTTCCTGCTGAAGCCTGCCTTCAGAATTCCCGATTGCTGCCTCACCACGATACGGACAATGTGCTTGTTGAAACGTCATTATCAGGATTACTATCGCTATTACTGTTCTGATGACTAGTACTCTGTTCTGATGACTGGTACTACTAGTATTCTGACTGCTGCTACTATGATTATTCTAGCGCGTGCTATTACTACTGTAATTACGGTTTCCTTGCCTGAAACTCCAATTCAATAATCGGGGCAGCCACCATCGACCTTACGAGATCCGGCAAGAATCGATTCCTTCAGTCTCTATATTACCCCAGGGTCATCTAGGGCGCGTGTACCTACGGTTTAGAGCTGTCTGCAGAACGAAAAGGGGGACTTCCCTAAACCCTACACCCTAAACCCCAAAATGCTTTGAGTCTATATAGCTATATTTTTCCCTCAGGGGTTCGGGTTAATCTAGCAGAATCAGAACCTCAACTTAGCAAAACTCTGGCTCTGCCACTAGTAAAACAAGCGTAAGTCGGGGGAGGGGAGCGGAGCGGGGTCAGAGTAAACCCTGGGCCATGGTGTTCTTGAAGCAAGAGGTTGTCTACAAAGAAACCGGGAAAACATCGATTTCCAGGCCCCTTGCATCATCTAGGCTTTCGAGGAACTACCAAAGAGCCAGAACCCACAAACCCTGAAGCTTGAAAGCCATAATCCCAACGTCTCCAAAGGGCTGTAATTGGAAGAGGGAGACGTGTCTCGTCGAAGACCTCGGAAAACAAGGCGTTCAACCTGCTCTATTCAGGTAGCCCCAAGCCCTTTTTCTCAAGAGCGTTATGTAAGAATACCCTTAAACCCTAAACCCTAAGAGGAGGCGGAGGACTCGCGGATTCGAATGCTTCGAAGTTATAATGGAAGCGCAGGGACCCTTTTCGGAGTGGGAGTTGCGCAGCTTGATAATATTAGGCATCCTAAGAGGGCATCCTACGTAGGCTTTTCGCACAGGCGCGCGAGCCTGACATGCGCCTGGTGGAACTGCACATTCTGCCACCTAACAAATTGTTTCGAAGCTACAGAGAGTTCAGCACATCCCTCAGCCGCCATCTGAGGCTGTTGCCAGAAGCACTTGAAGGAGGCAGAACTGCAAGAGCTTGTCAACCTGGCCCAGCGGGTATTTCCAATTCCCACTCCTCATTTTCCCACTGAGCATGTCTCAACACTGAACTGCTAGCGTGTCTCTATAGGAGTGGAATACACCTGAAAGACCGAATGCTGCCTACCGGCATGGATGGTGGGTCTCTTAAATATTCAGGATGCTTTCTGTTTCGGCTTCTACGTTACGGTCCCCTACTTTCTGAAACTCCAATATCTTGGGGCCTAGTCACAACACAAGAAGCGGCTCATGTTACACTCTACTCGTGTAGACAATCCGGATAGGAATGAGGCACTTTCGATATCCCCCCAACTGAGATAACCCAAACTTGTAAACCCCCAAAACCCCTAGACCCCATTCCAAACAAAATATTTGTGTGCACAAACATGCATGTTTTCGCTACTCATGTTTGTGTAAACAACTGCGCCCAAACCAAAAAGGGACTCGGCTTCTTGCTTTCGCGCATCTCTGGAAAACCGCGGAGCATGCAGCGCATAACCCAAACCCTGAACCCCAAAAAAACCCTCAGACCGTCGGGTGTTGAACCGCACCTGCGGGGGTGGCAGCTCTACTGGGAAGCGTCCGCGAAGAGCTTGGGCCCATCGCTTGCATGCAGACAAGCTGGCCTGAAGTACACAAGCAGGTTGATGAGAGTAGCTTGTGACAAGCTATAGTAACCTATATAGGCGCACCTTTCCAACTTTCTGCCTTTGTGTCTTGCTTCAAAATCTAAACACCGAAACCCAACAAAAAACTGGGCCCAAAAACTCTAAACCAGAAGAACTAATGCAGCCAAGCGTCTGTCGCCGATCTGAGAGAAAGAAATGAGCAGCTATTGATGAGCATGGCCTTGATGCATGTTTATGGTCAGGGCTATGTCCTTGATGCGATAAGGGCCTGGGTAGGATTTTGGGGTTTAGGGTTGAGAGGGCTTGGGATTAAAGGCTCAGTGATAGGGGCAGCTGTTCCGCTTGAGCATTGCCATGCTTAGGGTCTGCATCGATCTGTCAGCGTAGTTTGAGTAGCTTAGGACCGGCCAAAGTATTCGTTTTTGCTCATCTTTGTCCGACCAGTAATGGCCCATAAATACCCTTATACAACCCTCAAAAAACTCGACAAAACCATCTTAGACATACTCAAGCTGACTCAAGCTCTGTGAATAGCAGCAGCTTGAGACTTGCTTTCTTGATCGCTGGGCCTGCAGTACGGTGCAGGCCTCCTGTGTTCCCACTGTTGTCCCCTCCGTAGCCAGCCCACCGACCGCACAGCAGGTTGCATGACCGACTGCAGCGCTACTGAATCCTGATTGTTCCAAAAAGCTGTTTCGACTTCAATTAGTATTTCCAGCTTCGTGAGCCCAGTTGACAGCAAGGGAGTCGAGACGCACGCGGTGAACTTCAGCACTGCCAACACCAGCCCAAGCAACCATATGACACTTCGTGGAACCCTTACCATGTGTTCTCTTCTTAGATACTATCATATTATTAGCTACTGTAGTACTACTCTATCACGGTAAGCCAGTGATGCGGGGCCTGCGGGTAGCCGTCCCACTCCGATGACGGTTCGACCTGAGCACCACTTGCACTCCATCGACAAGTCCAAACCCGAACCAAACCCTAAACCCATAGGTTTAAAAAAACGTAGGTTTTTAAGTTGATTTTCAACCCATGGGTTTTTCCTGTTTCCCCAAATCAAAAACCTCACGTGGAAGTTAAGAATGCGCGACAACCGGCCCGATCTGCAAACCCAATCCGGCAGTTTGGGCAAACAGCAACGCCTCAATGAAGAACAACAGCAGAAAGAAGGGGAACTCCTTTGTGACGCAGGCACGGGAAAGCTACAGTAGCTTCTGCAAGACGAACTCAGAAAAAGACCTATCTGAACCTATCTGTCGCAAGAGCCTGACAGCTACAGTAGAGGACCTATATATCCCACTTGAGCATAAAGAAAGCATATGCTGCACCATGGATGTATTACATGATGTCTACGTCAAGTAACACACTTTCCGACGCTGGCGCTGCCTTTTCAATGGGCAGCGGGACCTTTCGCATCCTTTCTCCGGTAAGCTGATAGCAGAGGAGGGCAACCAAATTACAAGTACCCAGCGGCATTCTTTAAAATTGGATCTCCTTCATCCTCGGTTGTGTTGATAGGGGTGTTGCGCAGTGTCAACAACTACACGCCCCTCAACAAAAACACAAGCACACCCACACATACAAACAAAAACGAGGAACCCGGAAAATCAAATAGGAGGGCATGTTTCGGGTTCCCCGGGCAGGGGGCTTCGGGCTCTGTGGGTGAGGAGGACAATGCATTTCCTCTTTCTTCAACTTCGCGCATCTTCTGCAAGCTTCTGGCTTGAACTTGACAGGGTCATGCCAAACCATAAACCTTCCAACCTAGACTTCCAATCCGACGTTCTAGACCGCCATAAACCCTTGAGCCCTGAACCTTCCACCCTCAATTGCAAGACCCACACTTGACAGAGGATTGAACTACTTCTAACACGATCCCGGATGGTCCAAAAGTATAAAAAATATATCTAGGACCCTATTCTAAGAACAAAGGCCCCTTTATTGCTCCAGATTCAACCCTAAATCCTAAACCCTAAGATTCAGAAAGAAAGGCTTCCACGGCTTCGAACTCCACCGCCGGAGGCAAGGTCCAGGAGCCTGGGGAGACAAAAAGCTGTCTAGGGTTCAGGGCTTAGGGTTTGGGGTTTAGGGTTTGGGGTTTAGGGTTTAGGGTTTGGGGTTTACGGTTTAGGGTTTGGGGTTTAGGATTTGGGAGGTAGGGTTTCGTGTTTAGGAAGGTTTAGTTTAGTGTTTAAGATTCAAGGCTCAGGGTTTAGAGTTTACCAGGATCCGAAAATTTGTCACTCAGGGTAGAAGTTCAAGGCTACTTGTCCAGTATCCTCGGAGAACAACCCTTGGGATTGTATAGTACCCCCCAAAAAGGTTAACAGCAACCTACTCTACGACTCAGAAAGGTGTTGCTGAAGATGGAAGTTCTTGCTCGCTGTGGAGGTCTGCGCAATCAACTGGCCAGCTCGAGTAGCGGATTGCGATTCAGGAAGGAATATAGACAAATACCTGTGCATGTATATATATACACACATAGATAGACTTATATACATATATATATATAAACAAATAAATATAAATAAAAAACATATTTCTATCAATGTATGTGTATATATATATAGAGAGAGAGGCATGTATATGTTTGTATTTATATCTATACATAGACTGGAGAGAGAGAAGGAGAAAGAGAGAGAGAGAGAGAGACAGAGAGCGAGAGAGGGAGGTGGTTCGTGCCGGGAAGTTGAGGGTTCAGCTCAGTGGGTCACTTTCGAAACAATTTCGAAACTGAGCAAAGGCCTGACACCCTTAAACTCAAATCCCAAAGGCCAATCCTGGGTCCTACATGGGAACCAACACTGTCAAGTGTAGAACATGGGCAGAATGCGGTGTTTGTTCTGGCGGCACGTTCCGAAAGCTTGTTTGAGCCTTGGAATTTGCTTTACAATGTGCCACCCACCCTGCTCGGAGGATATTGCGGCCTAGTATATAGTGCTAAACGGGTTTATGAGTATAGTTGCTTGGTATACCCTGGTTACTGTATTGATAATCTACTGATGCTTTGTTTCGCTTTAAGAGTACACCCTCAACTCCTTGAGTTCGAATTCTCTGCACCTGATGGGTCGACAGAAACGCTTCACTCTCATTGAATCAGTGGGGCCCCTTTAGGGTTCAGGGTGGTTCAGGGTTTAGGGTTGTGAAAGACTCTACCGGTTCTGGTGCTACGGACAGCGAACTACTGAACATGGACCAATAAGCAACGGGTTCAACCGACGGCTCAAGAATGGCAATAGCCGTCACAGCCACGGTGGTAGTCATGCTGGTGATTTTGGTGGTCGCCGTGTCGTCACTAAGTACACACGAGCACACAGTCAAGAGGTCTGCCTGGACTCGCGAAAGCCCAGGGACCACCTCATCTAAGCCCCCAACCCTAAAAATGAAACCTAAGCCGTCCCTTTAATTCAAAGCACAATACCGAAATCAACTATTGAAAATCCGGAAGCATCAACTTGTCGCCTTTCCCGAAACCACCAATTACGTTCGGTGAAGTTGCCCGTGGTGCCGTCCTGGGTGCTCACAGCATCCTGCTCCGGGCCAGGGCCACAGGGACTGGGCACTCCCGTCTCGCGCAAGGCAAGCGAAATTCAACAAGAGTCGGTGGGTCGGTTTAGGGATTCGAGGACAATCCCGGCGAGGCATGTTTAGGGACGGGACTTATAGCGATTAGGGTTTCGACTCACGCACTCGCATAAGGCAGGCATGGCTTCTGAAGGTCCGAGCTTGCTACTGTGACATGTGCGAGAAAGCTGACCGATCAGTGGGGAGAGGGCTGACACGGGACCAAACACCATCATAACAGCAAAAACTGACAGACACTCGCTGCTAGCTTCTGCGGTAAAGCCGGTGCTGAATAGGGTTTAGGGTTCAGGGGTTGTGGTCGGGAGGATTTGGTGTCAAAACTCGGACTGGCCCGCCGAGGTTCCACTCAGATCCAGTTCGGATTGAGGCATCCCAGATAAGAAAGCATGATCTTAAATCAACAAGGACATAACCTACACGTCGCACCAACTTGTACCCTTTCCGGTGGCGTGGTTACTCTGTTTAGGATTGAGATCCAGTTCGAGCCACTTCGAAATCTGAGTGAGTTTCTGCTCTCCTGCTGGCACGTAGACCAAGCAACTAACAGGGTGCTTGGAACCCAAGAGAAGTCGACCATGGCGCTCTTTTGGCGAAGTATGGGATAGTGAAGATGTCGCAACATGCGTGCCCAGCGGAATAGTGCCAAGAGATGCCCTGCCTCCCAGCGCCATTGCCTTGACTTGGTGGGGCGGAGGCTCGCCACGAAACCCGTGGATGACTCAACCCGAATCACTCTATCCAGTTCCAGCACCACTGACTGAGAGCTGCATCCCTTGGTACAGACCAAATTTTTGGTCGTATTCCGGAGTTCAACACGAGCGAGTGAGGTTCACGACGAAACGTTGGAAGATTCCATGGTTCATGAAAAGTCTGTGCAGCAGCTTTCAGACTGAGGTGCATTGTGTATAGTAAACCAACTAAACCAGCTAGAACGATCACGAGTAGCTATCTGCGGTTCCCTTAGATCTGTAGTCCGAGGTTTCACTGCTTGGACCCTGAAGAACTTTCTATGAAGGAAACTGCTTAACCCGGTCCCCACGGCTGTGGCAGCTTGCAGAGCACATGTTCATAGAGGACCCGCTACAGGACGAACTTCTCTGTTGAACATGATGTGTAATTACATGTGATGACCCCTGAAACAAGCAGAACCTGGTGCCGGGACACACGTTCTCTGAGGCCTTCTTGGCGCGGCGACCAGAATCCAAAAGCCACGACTTGGAGCAGCAGCGCATGTTGCAGAAGCGGTTAATTCAGTGTGAAAGGTTCTGGTATCATATCCTGGGACGGATCAAGGCAAGGGCCTATCGAATAGAGTCGATCGGGTCGCTTCGGAAGGAGTTTCGGTATGCAATGGGATGCCGCTGAATCAAGCATTGTGCTTTTCCTGTGTCCGTCTGGTATGCATTCTACCAGGGTTTTCGTTTGATGTACCTAGCAAAACAGGAACCCCTACAAGCAGAACAGATTCAGCAGCATCAATTCACAATGACCCCTCACCCAACGACACGGTAGTTGAATTAATTACGGCGGTTGTGTAGCGTTACACCCAAACACCTGCAAAGACTTGCCCTTGCAGAAATTCCGAAAAAGCTAAAAGGTTCCAGAGCAACACAAACCGTACCTATA